GATGGAAACAACCTAAATGCCTGTCCACAGATGACAGGGTAAACAAAATATGGGTCTCTTGAAAAGAAACATCCATTTGAAAAGAGCTGATTTATAAGTTATGATAGAGACAGTCGCGAGACTTGAAAGGAAGCCAGGAGGAAGGAGAGATGAATTAGGCAGACAGGTCTCCGGTTGGTCTAGTTCACCTTGCAGCCCAGACTCCCCAGTTTGATTTCCTGACAGCCGTATCTCCACAGTGGCTCTGCAACTGCTTGGCAAGGACACAAGCCAGCAAGAAAGCAGAAGTGCGGATCAGGACTTGGATGCAGTACAGTACACTTAAGTGGAAGTTAGTAAACACGTCAGGCTATTGGCATGAATGGAAAGATGAATGCCTTTGTGTTTTTCACACCATGTTTCCTTCATACTTCTGCAAAGGGAAACAACCTCATCTACTTCATTGCTTAGGAACATGATCTGATTGTTTCACAGCGTTTTATGAGTTTACATTATATGGGTGTGCATTGTCTCAGACATGAACTGGCTGACATCAGTCATAGCAATCAAGCATGAGGTTTTATGAACATCGCCTTGCGATATGGACGCACAATGTCCCCTCAATGTATTTATTGTAAGAAGGGAAATAGCAAAGCGCCTTCAGGAAAGTCAGCAATTTGATCTTATAAACAGGATGTTCTGTAATTGAAGATCTGAAGTATAAAAATCGCTGACAGTTTGCTTATTTTGGAGCACCAAAATAAAATAAGAGTGTGTACTTCTGACAAATAGATGGGAATTTTCTCTTTCTTTTGAAGGGTGTGGGAACCCCAAGAGACCACTTAGTGAGTTATGTGATGGCATGCAGTATTGGAAATATTACTATCCAGGATCTGAGGGATCCTGTTCAAATCATCATCAAACATACAAGAACTCAGGTAAGATACAGCAACTGAAAAGAGGCAGACCACAACAAAGAATTTTGAGCTCTCGCCCACCCCTCATCCCCACAAGTTGATGTGCTTTTCTTTCGGGACAAATTTCCAGAAAGGGAAGAAATAGCGAGTGAGTAGTGTCCTAACGTCATAGTAAATGCTCACACCTGGAAAAGAGCCCTGGCAGCATTGGGCTGCTAACCACAAGGTCAGCAGTTTGAACCACCACCAGCCAGTTTGAAAACTTCCAGTTGCTCCTCAGGAGATGGATGAGCCTTTCTATTGGCCCCTTAAAGTTAGTCTCAGAGACCCCCAGGGTAGTTCTACCCTGGCCCTTATGCTCATTATGAGTTGGAATTACTATGAGTAAGGTTATTTTGTTTGTTTTCTTTTGCTTTAAGACTAGCTAGGAGCCCTGATGGCATAGTGGTTTTAGGGGTTGTGCTGCTAACTACAAGGTCAGGAGTTCAAAACCACTGGACTCTTTGTGGGACAAAAAAAAGGAGGCTTTCTACTCCTGTTAACTACGAAGAGTTACGGTCTTGGACACCCACGGGGGCAGTTCCGCCCTGTCCTTGGAGTCAGAGTCGGCTCGCTGGCAGTGAGTTCTGGGGTTTCGTTTTTTGAGAAGACTAGCTGGGAGGTCCAAGTGATGTGGATGTTAATGTGGTTGACTGCTCCCCAAATGTTTGGAGGTCTAAGTCTACCCAGAGGTGCCTTAGAAGAAAGGCCTGGCAAATTACCTCCTCCCAGAATGAGCTCCTGAAGATCCTATGGAGCACAGTTCCACTCTGACACACACAGAGTCACC